CGTAATAGAAATAGTAGTAGTAGTAGTAGTAGTAGTAGTAGTAGTAGTAGTAGTAGCAGTAGTAGCAGTAGTAGTAGTAGTAGTAGTAGTAGTAGTAGTAGTGGTAGTAGTAGTACTAGTAGCCCCTAGGAATCCTAGCAATCCCTAGGGAATCAGTGAACCCTGAGAATCCCCCGAGGGCATCCTACTAATATTTCGGTCATTCGTGGGAATCCTTACGGAATCCGAGGAAAACTTGGAAATCCCTGTCGCTGATCCCATGCGCCCTGTATGGGAGCTCACACAAATCCCATACAGCCTGGTAGGGCTGGGTTCGGCTGCCGCTTGATTCATATAGGGTTGGAAACGCTCCCCCCTGGACGGGGCGTAGCCCACCCAAAGCGGGGGGCCGAAGGCCAGTCGGGAGGGGGGGTTGCTGGGTTGCTGGTTGCTGGGAAGGGGGTTGGCGGACCTTCAAACCTTCCTTGTTCAACAACAGCAGCAGCAACAACACCAACAACACCGACAACAACAACAACAACAGCAGCAGCAACAACAGCCACCACCACCTCCACCACCACCACCACCACAACGACAACAACAACAGCAACAACAACATCAACAACAACAATCATTCTGAGACTGTTCGCCCTTATCTGCTCGAGTGCCCAATAGCGCGTATTTCCCAAACCCTCGATACCCGCCCTCTTCGTCTTCGATCGAACCCCTTTTGGGAGGTATACTTTTCTTCCCTGCAGGGCGGGCCCCGGCAAGCGGCGGGGCGGCCGCGGACCGTCGACCCGACCCCACGAGGGACGGACAGGGGACCGACCACGACGACGACGACGACGTTGACGACGAGCGAAAGCCAGAGCGAGGGAGAACGACAGCAGGGCCACAAGGACACGAAGTAGGCCACGAAGGGCGACAGCGGGGACACGAAGGGAATGCGTATGGGGCCACGAAGAGCGCGAACGAGCGGGGGCCACGAAGGGCAGATAATGCGGGGCCACAGAGGGCAACGATGGGGCCACTGAGGGTAGCAACGGGGCCACGTAGGACAGTGAGGGTGCCACAAACGGCGACAGCGGGGCCACGAAGGGCATGCACATGGGGCCACAACGGGCGCGAACGAGCGGGGGCCACGAAGGGCATACGTATACTGGGCCGCGGAGAGCAAGGACGGGGCCACTGAGGGCAGCAACGGGGCCACGAAGGGCGGCGAGGGGGCCACGAAGGGCGACAGCGGGGCTACGAAGGGCATGCACATAGGGCCACCACGGGCGCGAACGAGCGGGGGCCACGAAGGATACATATATATATATATATATATAATTATATATATATACATGTGTATATAGATATATATGGGGCCACGAAGGGCAGCGAGGGGGCCACGAAGGGATGCAACAGGGCCACGAACGGCAGTGAGGGGGCCACGAAGGGCTGCAACGGGGCCACATAGGGCTGCGACGGGGCCACGAAGGGCAGCGAGGGGGCCACGAAGGGCTGCAACGGAGCCACGAAACAAAGCGAGGGGGCCACGAAGGGCTGCAACGGGGCCACGAAGGGCAGCGAGGAGGCCACGAGGGGCTGCAACGGGGCCACGAAGGGCAGCGAGGGGGCCACGAAGGGCTGCAACGGGGCCACGAAACAAAGCGAGGGGGCCACGAAGGCCTGCAACGGGGCCACGAATGGCAGCGAGATCCCGATTCCTAGGTAATCTGTGAGGAAGTCCTAAGCGTGAGCGCGACTCCTGGGTGCGTGGGTGTCGGGAGCGCGGCGCTTGAGTAAATCGCAATATATTCCAACGCAAGGGCGCTATTCTGCAGTAAATTGCAAACGAGTCTCCAGCGAGAGCGCGACTCCAGAGCGCCGGGAGAGCGATTCCTGAATAAATTGTAAGGAAGTCCCAAGCGAGAGCGCGATTCCTGAATAACATGCGAGGAAGTCTCGGGCGGGAGCGGGGGTCCTGGCTAAATTGCGAAGAAGTCTCAAGCGGGAGCAATTCTTGTTGTAACCCGGGGGCCAGGGGCCCAGTTTTAGCCTCAAGACTTTCCTTGATAAAAAAACAGGGTGCGAGCGTCGAGGGGCACACTTCGATTAAGAAAAAACAGTATGCACCGGTGGGGGGGATCAACAATAATTTGCATTCAGAAGTGAAAGTTTAACAATGACAACAACGACAACAGCAACAATAATCTAAGCATTGTCCACATCCCAGGCGCTGCGTTTGTCTACAAGCCCATGGTATGTTCGAAACGCACCGGCGATCCTTCCCCGCCGTGACCATCAACCAAATTCTTGCTACATCGGATGCGCAAATCGGCGCCATCATCGCATTTGACCGTGCCCTTCTGAGAGATTCAACAACTATTGACAACCAACATGTGGTTCTCTGGGCCGGTCGCAAGCCTCCACGCGCAGAAAGCCGTCGCACGTGCCTCCCGAGAGCTCTCGCACCAGAGGGCGCGCTATGACCGCGTGGCATCGAAGAAGAAACAACTCCTCCTCCTCCTCCTCCTGCTCCTCCTCCTCCTCCTCCTCCTCAGGCGTTTCGCGCTCGGGCTGTTGGGGCTGCCCGATTTCGCGAAGGTCCCAATGGCACAGCCTGCATGCGTCCCCCCCACCCAGTACAATACTTCGTGGCCCCATAGGGAGCTCCACCTAATGTCCCAGTGGCGCAGCCCTCATGCGTCTCCCCCACCCAGTACAGCGCTCCGTGGCCCCATACGGAGCTCCACCGAAGTTTCCAGTGGCGCAGCCCGCATGCGTCTTCCACACCCGGTAAATCGTTCCGTGGCCCCATAAGGAGCTCCACTTAAGGTTCCAATGGAGCAGCCCGCATGCGTCCCACACACCGAATACAACGTTTCGTGGCCCCGTAGGGAGCTCCACCTGAGGTCCTAGCGACGCAGCCCGCATGCGTCTCCCACACCCAATACAGCGCTTCGTGGCCCCTTAGGGAGCTACACCGAAGGTCCCAATGGCGCAGCCCGCATGCGTCTCTCTCTCTCTCTCTCTCTCTTCTCTCTCTCACAAACACGCACGCACAAACACAAGCACACACACACACTAACTACAACGCTTCGTGGCACCATAGGGAGCTCCACCGAAGGTCCCAGTGGCGCAGCCCGCATGCGTCTCCCCCACCCAGTACAACGCTTCGTGGCCCCATAGGGAGCTCCACCGAAGGTCTCAGTGGCGCAGCCCGCATGCGCCTCCCACGCCCAGTACAACGTTTCGTGGCCCCATAGGGAGCTCCACCGAAGGTCCCAGTGGAGCAGCCCGCATGCGTTTCCCCCACCCAGTGCAACGTTTCGTGGCCCTACAAGAGGGCTCCACCGAAGACGATGCCCACAACTGCGGTATTCACAAGTGCATCTGGTTGGTTCCTCCGCCAGGCTATATTTTCTGGCCAATGGCAACGTCCTCATTGGTCGAACTACTCCGTCGATGCGCCGCGCCGCGCGTACGGGAAGCGCGGTGCCGCACCGACGCGCGCCGTGCCGCACGGTCCCCGCACGACCATCCACGCCGCTGGCTGTCTGTGTGAACGGGTCACCCAGCAACGCCCACTGTGCAACGGACGCCACTGACAAACTTGGCTCGCGCGCACCTGGCTGCGCCTGCCGCCCTCGGGCTCCGCCCGGCTCCGCCTGCCTGCGTCCAGCCAAAACAGATAGGAAGGATGCGCGCTAGGGATGCAAGCCTCTTGGACGCCCGCGTTGAAGCTTTTTCGAGCGCGGCGGGCCTTCGCAAGTAGTCAAGGATGGACCGAAGAGGCAAGGATTCAAGGGAACCCTTGGGAAGGCTACCCATCCTTGCCATCGGTTTCAGTGTAACACTCGAGCGGACTGCCTGTGGGTCGCACAAGCCCTGGGCTGCGCCTTGCGCGCATGCTGCCCACTAGGCAGCCCGGCGGGATTCTCTGCACCAGGCTCGATCAATACAGCCTGCTTCAATCCCACGGGCCCCTTAGGTTGTCCTGGACTGACAGGGGCAAGCGAAAAGGTAAAAACGCGAGAATATCTCAGATGATGATGATAAGGATGAGGAGGAGGAAGGAGAGAGAAGAGAATGGGCAGGAGGCAATGGATGATCCAGGGTTGCCCCCTCCTCTCTCCCACCCAATGCATATGGGATCGAGCCCCCCCCACTGGATGGGTACTCCCGTGAGCTTCGCAGAGGCCTCGCAAAGGCCCCCGCCCTCCCCCTGTGAGTATGGGGTGGTTTGTTGTCGTCGTCGTCGGCGTCTCGGCGTCGTCGACGTCGTCGTCATCGTCGTCGCCGTCGTCGGCGGCGGCGGCGGCGTCGGCGTTGGCGTCGGCGTCGTCGCCCCCCCTCCATCTGTGGAACCCTGAGGCCCATCCCATCTTGGGGAGGGGGGGGGGCTGAGAATTCTCGACGAGGGATCTGGTACAATCAGGCGCCTCGGCATGCTGCCAGGGTCTCCAGCAAGATGCCCAAACAAAGGCCAACGATATGTTCTGCTGCCAAAAGCTTCTGGCAGCATGTATAAGTAAAAAACAGGATCACTGACAGTCTCATCTCGTGCACCTAGGCGCTCTAAATGGGCGCAGCCCTCTAGGGAGGAGCACGAGGAGTAGAAGATGAGATGAAGGGGGGGGGTAAGGGAAGGAAGGCTACGAGACTGCACGTGTTGTGGAGGCGACGGCTGAAAATGCTAAGTGCTACTACCTACTGAGCAGGCGAAGCAACCAGTCCCAGAGATTCTGCGAGCCCTCTGATTCATCGATAATATGTTCACCACAATCCCAAACAGCCTCGTCCGTCTTGACCCACCCGTCCTCCGTCCACATGGAGTTTGGGTCGCAAGTTTGGTTGCACGCGAACCAGTAGTCATTCTTCTTGTAGCACTTCGCGTCAGGATCAGCGCAGCACTGGGACAGTGCGCAAGACGCCCCGTTTGGAGAGCATGGGAGCCGAATCTCCTCACAATCCCAAACTGTCTCGTTTGTCGTGACCCATCCGTCCGCCGTCCACATACTGTTCGGGTCGCAAGTTTGGTTGCACGAGCTCCAATGGTCGTTCTTCTTGTAGCACTTCGACCCAACCTCAGCGCAACACATGGTAAGTGCGCAAGACTCCCCGTTCGGCGAGCAAACGGAGGCTGTCGCAACATCGGAGCTACTCGCGGAGTCTGACGAAGCACCAGTGTCAGCGACATTCCCGGCACCGGAGTCAGACGAAACGTCGGTACTGTCGATGCTGATGACTTCGCAATCCCAAACTGTTTCGTTCGTCTTGACCCAGCCGTTCTCCATCCACATGTAGTTTGGATTGCATGTTTGGTTGCACGCGAACCAGTAGTCATTCTTCTTGTAGCACTTCGAGCCGGGATCAGAGCAGCACTGAGTAACTGCGCAAGACTCCCCGGGCTGCGAGCACGGCGGCCGAATCTCCGTGCAGTCCCAGACTGTCTCGTTCGTCGTGACCCATCCGTCCACCGTCCACAGACTGTATGGGTTGCAAGTTTGGTTGCACGAGCTCCAATGGTCGTTCTTCTTGTAGCACTTCGCGCCAGGCTCAGAACAGCACTGGGACAGCGCGCAAGACGCCCCGGTCTGCGAGCACGTGCCGTTCTCGTCCTCGGCTGCTGCATCAGCAATGGGATCCGCTGATTCGACAGGGTTCACGGTGAGGTCCTCGCAATCCCAGACTGTCTCGTCCGTCTCGACCCAGCCGTCCTCCATCCACATGTAGTTGGGGTTGCAAGTTTGGTTGCACGAGCTCCAATAGTCGTTCTTCTTGTAGCACTTCGCCCCTGGCTCAGAGCAGCACTGGGACAGTGCGCAAGACGCCCCGTTGTGCGTGCACGGAAGCCGAATCTCCTCACAATCCCAAACTGTCTCATTCGTCGTGACCCATCCGTCCACCGTCCAAAGACTGTATGGGTTGCAAGTTTGGTTGCACGAGCTCCAATGGTCATTCTTCTTGTAACACTTCGCGCCAGGCTCAGAGCAGCACATGGTAAGTGCGCAAGACTCCCCGTTCGGCGAGCATGCGGAGGCTGTCGCAGCGCCGGAGCTACTCGCGGAGTCTGACGAAGCATCAATGTCAGCGGCATCAGTGGAATTAGCGGTGCTGTCTATGCTGATGACTTCGCAATCCCAAACTGTCTCGTTCGTCTTGACCCAGCGGTCCTCCATCCACATGGAATTGGGGTCGCAAGTTAGGTTGCACGCGAACCAATAGTCATTCTTCTTGTAGCAACTCGCGCCTGGCTCAGAACAACACTGGGAAAGTGCGCAAGACGCCCCGGGTTGCGAGCACGGCGGCCGAATCTCCGTGCAGTCCCAGACTGTCTCGTTCGTCGTGACCCATCCGTCCACCGTCCACAGACTGTATGGGTTGCAAGTTTGGTTGCACGAGCTCCAATAGTCGTTCTTCTTGTAGCACGTCGAGCCTGGCTCCGAGCAGCACTGGGAAAGTGCGCACGACGCCCCATTCTGAGAGCACGTGCCTTTCTCGTCCTCGGCTTCTGCATCAGCGACGGGATCCGCTGATTCGACAGGGTTCACGGTGAGGTCCTCGCAATCCCAAACTGTCTCATTCGTCTCGACCCAGCCGTCCTCCATCCACATGTAGTTGGGGTTGCAAGTTTGGTTGCACGAGCTCCAATAGTCGTTCTTCTTGTAGCACTTCGCCCCTGGCTCAGAGCAGCACTGGGACAGTGCGCAAGACGCCCCGTTTGGCGTGCACGGAAGCCGAATCTCCTCACAATCCCAAACTGTCTCGTTTGTCGTGACCCATCCGTCCGCCGTCCAAAGACTGTTTGGGGCGCAGGTTTGGTTGCACGTGCTCCAATGGTCATTCTTCTTGTAGCACTTCGCGCCAGGCTCAGAGCAGCACATGGTAAGTGCGCAAGACTCCCCGTTCGGCGAGCAAACGGAGGCTGTAGCAGCATCGGAGCTACTCGCGGAGTCTGACGAAGCATCAGTGTCAGCGGCATTCCCGGCACCGGAGTCAGACGAAACGTCGGTACTGTCGATGCTGATGACTTCGCAATCCCAAACTGTTTCGTTCGTCTTGACCCAGCCGTTCTCCATCCACATGTAGTTTGGATTGCATGTTTGGTTGCACGCAAACCAATAGTCATTCTTCTTGTAGCACTTCGAGCTGGGATCAGAGCAGCACTGGGACAGTGCGCAAGACGCCCCAGTTGCCGAGCACGGCGGCCGAATCTCCGTGCAGTCCCAGACTGTCTCGTTCGTCGTGACCCATCCGTCCACCGTCCACAGACTGTATGGGTTGCAAGTTTGGTTGCACGAGCTCCAATGGTCGTTCTTCTTGTAGCACTTCGCGCCAGGCTCAGAACAGCACTGGGTAAGTTCGCAAGACGCCCCCGTCTGCGAGCACGGATCGGTCTCGCTGGGATCCCCGCCACTCACATTGCTGGCAGCCTCGACAATTATAGCCTCGGGAGAAGCAAGAGTCGCGGCCCCCGTGGAGGGCCCCGCGCGCCAAGCCACAGCCAGCAAAGCCAGCGCCGCCGCGGCCGCCGACAGCGCCGCCGCCCCGGCCAGAGCGCGCTGCTGGCGCGGCGCGACCGGCGCCCGCGCGGGGGCGATCACCCCTGGCTCGCAGTCGCTCTCGAGGGGGAGCCGGAGCGGCAGGAACTCGCTCCTGTCCGCGCGCATGGCGGGCGAACGATCGAGCTGCAGCGGGCGCCTGTCGGGCGGGAACGCGAGTCTCGAGCCTCGAGTCAGAATGACTTGAGCCAAAATGACTGCGGATATCTTTGGGCACATCTTGGGGCCTCATCCTGGGCGACTCAGGCAGCACCTTGGGGGCTTCGGGGGCCACCCTGGGGCTGTGTTGGGCAACCTCGGAGACTCTGGGGGCCGTCTGTGGGACATGCAAAACGTTGGTTTGCCCTTTGGGGGTGGCGTCCAATTCTAGGCAGCCCCCAAAAAAGTCCGGGTAGAAAGGAGTGGCGCTTTGGGAGTTTGGGGCTGATTCGTGACAATGACGCATTTGCATGCTGTGCTTGTCGCACCTCGTTGGCTCGCCGACCCTCTGTTACCGGGGCCCTGAAGCTTCGTGCGAACTCGAAGTGCCAAGGCCCGCCAATTCGTCGCGAGCGGGCTTCCGGCTCCCCCGTCGGAGTAGGAGAACGCCCTGCGGCACCCCTACATCCCCTACTCGCACTCTCCCTGGGCGATCACGTCAGATCTGGACGGTCACGCCGCAATCGGCCAGCGCAGCAGCGCAATGCAATCCGCCAGCTGCATCACGTTGTAACACCACGGCTTGGGGCGTGCAATCTGTTCCAGAGCGCAATGGATTGCTCGACGTCTGCGTGCAATGCGATGGTCGCAAAACAAAAATACAGTACACTTGTCTGGCGCAGTACATTTACAATACCGCCGCTCGTCTGCGATACATGTTTGCAACGCGTCGTCCGCGCGCGTTGCCACAGTGACGCGCACTGTGTCGGAATCAGCACTCCGTGCCAAGCGTGCGAACTCTTGATGCGAGCACTGTCGTGGATGGTCCGCCGAGGTCGTCGAAAACACGTGGAGACGCCTGTCTGCCCTCTGCCTCGTTTCCTTGCCTGCCCGAGGCCGTTTGCAGGCACGGGCTGGAACGGACGGCAGGTGGGCACAGCCACTTTTGCACGGGCACGCCAAATATTTCAGTGCCGCCATCCCCTGTACCCGGACCTCCTTTTGGGGCTGCCCAAGCGGCTGGCAATGCGAAGGCAGCCTAGACCGGCCAGAGGGCCACCCTTTTCTGGCCTCTTGTTTTTGTTCGGATCGGCCCTGTAATGACTACAACGCAAGGCGACACAGAAGACACAAGGCAGCAATTCAACAACAAATCTCACAGCCTCGCACTTTCCGTGGGATCTGGCGGATGCTCGCTCACACGAAGACACGCCCACGCCGTGCCGCTCCAGGCAGCTCGGCACAGCTGAGCCAAGTCAAGCTGGGGCTAGCCGACAGGCCAGGCATCCACAGGCACCGGAGTCATAAGGACAGGGGAAGATTATTGTCTACATGTTATTTCTGGTAGCAGTCGTTACCACAGCGGGGGGTCGGGCCCAGGTAACGGTAACGCTTGGGGTGGGTGGGGCACGTCGGGACAAAGGATACGCTGCGATCGCCGTGCTATGCGCGCGGTGATTCGCACGGGGGCGGGATTCAAGCTCCATCATACGCACGATCGTGACCGTTATCCAAAGGGGGGGGGGGGCGGGGTAAGGGCCAGGGTCACGACCGTTATGCGCCAGAGGATTTTCAACAACAACAATAACAACAACAACAACAACAACAACAACAACAACAACAACAACAACAACAACAACAACAACAACAACAACAATTACTAGCACGTGGGGACACACCGTTCTCACCAGTGCCAGGGTTTTCATAGGAGGCGGGCAATACCCCCACTTTGTGGGGGGGCCGGTTCAAGCTCTACCAAATTTCCAAACGACTCTTCGCCACCACCCACACCCAGCTTCCCGCCCTATGACGTTCGGACACTTCACTTCGTGGCATGCGGACGACCGTGGCTACTATTCAGGGCCCCGCGGCCGACGACGACGGCGTGCGCGCGCGAAGAAAAAACGAATGTGTCCCGCATGGTATTATTTGACAGGGATGATGGCCCTGGCAGGTGCGCAACCGTTGTTGCAGAAGTTCGAAAAAGTTGCTCGCAAAAGCCCGTTTGACAGAAATGTTTAAAAAGTGTTGGGTTTCCTACGAATCCGCAAGAGCGCGCGGGATGAAATTTTGACAATTTTTTTTGAAAAACCATTGGTTTTTTTTGATGTTTTTATGTTAAAATCGCTACGAAAACTAAGGTTTTGGAAGGATTTCGTCTTGCGCGCGCGAATGTCCACTTTACCTTATTTTTTGCAAGGGATTCTTGAAGTTTGGTTATGTTAGAACAAGAAATGTCCACTTTAGCTTATTTTTTGCAAGGGAAAACCGATCGTAACAACACAACCGGATCCGGACTCCCCCGTTTTGCCTGAGACTTCCTCACGAAAATGATGAAAATGAGGCTGCGGCCTAGGCGCGGCGGGGGGGTCGTGCACCAGGGGTCCCAACAATAATTATTTTTTAGAAGTAATAATGTTCAACAACAACAACAACAACAACAACAACAACAACAACAACAACAACCATTTTAAGGCTGTACGCTCTTACTTGCCCGCGAGTCATTCAACACGTATACCCTACACCCTCGATGCCCGCCCTCTTCGTCTTCGATCACACCCCTTTCGGGGGGATTATTTCTCTTTGCTGGGGCCGGCGGGCTTAGACGTACGGGCAAACCGGAACGGGCGGACAATCCTTCGGGGGCGTACATCTCTCTGCCCGCCATTGGAATTGGCGCGGGCCCTGCAAGAGGAGGAGGGGAAGAACGAGGGAGAGTGGGAGGAAGGGGAGGGGGAAGGACGAAGGAAGAGGGAAGATACCACGTTGTGAAGGCGTCCTTGGCGCGCGCGTGGTTCCTGAGCGCCGAAACGCAATTCCAGAATAATTTGTGAGGACGTCGCACGCGAGAGCGCAGTCCTGAGTACATTGTGAGGAAATCTCGGGCGGAAGCGGGGGCCCTGACTAAGTTGCGAGGAGTTCTCAAGCGGGAGCGCCGTTCCTGAGCAAATTGCACGGAAGTCTCAGGCGGGAGCGGGGGCCCTCACTAAATTGCGAGGAAGTCTCAGGCGGGAGCGCCGTTCCTGAGTCAATTGCGCGGAAATGTCAGGCAGGAGCGGGGGTCCTGAGTAAAATTCGAAGAAGTCTCAAGCGGGAGCGCCGTTCCCACGTAAATCGCACGGAAGTCTTAGGCGGGAGCGGGGGTCTCGATTACATTGCGAGGAAGTCTCAGACGGGAGCGCCTTTCCTGAGTAAATTGCGCGGAGGTCTCAGGCGGGAGCGGGGGTCCTGAGTAAAAATCGAGGAAATCTCAAGCGGGAGCTGTTGTTGTTGTAGCCCGGGGGGCAGGGGCACAGTTTGAGCAGGAAGACTTTCCTTGAGAAAAAACCAGGTGCGAGCCCCGATAGTGGCACTTCAATCGAAAAAAAAACAATGTGCACCGGTGGGGGGATCAACAATAATTATTCTTCAAGAGTGAGAGTTCAACAACAACAACAACAACAACAACAACAAGAACAAGAACAATAACAAGAACAATAACAACAACAACAACAACAACAACAACAACAACAACAACAACAACAACAACAACAACAACAACACTGATTGAAGAACTGTTCGCCCTTATATGCTCGAGTGTCCGATAACGCGTATTTCCCAAACCCTCGATACCCGCCCTCTTCGTCTTCGATCGAACCCCTTTTGGGGGGTATACCTTTCTTCCCTGCAGGCCGGGCCCCAGCAAGCGGCGGGGCGGCCGCGGACCGTCGGCCTGGCCAGCGGCAGCGCTGATCGGCGGGGCGGCCGCGGACCGTCGACCCGACCCCAAGAGGGACGGACAGGGGACCGACCACGACGACGACGACGACGACGACGACGACGTCGAAGACGACGGCGACGACGAGCGAAAGCGAGAGCGAGAGAGAACGACAGCAGGGCCACGAAGGGCACGAAGTAGGCCACGGGGCGACAGCGGGGACACGAAGGGAATGCGTATGGGGCCACGAAGGGGCGAACGAGCGGGGACACGAAGGGCAGATAATGTGGGCCACAGAAGGCAACTATGGGGCCACTGAGGGTAGCTAACTGTCCACGTAGGACAATGAGGGGACACAAATGGCGACAGCGGGGCCACGAAGGGCATGCACATGGGGACAACGGCGCGACTCCTGGGTGCCTGGGTGTCGGGAGCGCGGCGCTTGGGCAAATTGCAGGAAATTCCAACGCAAGGCTATTCTTCAGTAAGTTGCAAGCAAGTCTCCAGCGAGAGCGCGACTCCAGAGCTCCTGGGAGAGCGATTCCTGAATAAATTGTAAGGAAGTCCCAAGCGAGAGCGCGATTCCTGAATCAATTGCGAGGAAGTCTCGGGCGGGAGCGGGGATCTTGCCAAAATTGTAAGGAAGTCTCCAGCGGGAGCCTCTGTTGTTGTAGCCCGGGGGCCAGGGGCCCACTTTGAGCATGAAGACTTTCCCAATCAAAAAAACAGGGTGCGAGCGTCGAGGGGCACACTTTGATTGAGAAAAACAATATGCACCGGGGGGGGGTATCAACATAATTATTTCTTCAGAAATGAGAACTCAACAACAACAACACAACAACAACAACAATTACTAGCACGTGGGGACACACCGTTCTCACCAGTGCCAGGGTTTTCATAGGAGGCGGGCAATACCCCCACTTTGTGGGGGGGCCGGTTCAAGCTCTACCAAATT